AGTTAATCAAAACATAAGGCCGTTTTCATGAGAGTAAATAAGAATCAATAACTGTTCATTGACCTGGAAATATGAGGTGTTTCGGGAAGCTGCGTCTTAGTACAGAGAGGAGACATAAAATATATATAAATATATAAATGGCTAATGATGTTATGATTATGATCATTTTGTTATCAAAACTATTACTCGAACACTTTCGATGTTCGATTTTTTCATATCAATATGGAAGTGAGACTTGCTTCAATAAATCTGTTTCATCTGATAAAAATTTGTTGAAATAACATTTTATTATTACTTATTAATTTCTCTAGCAACAAGTATAAATAATTAAATAATAAATTAAAGTAATTCACTCCACCGAATAAAAAAATAAATAATTCGTAAAAAATATAACTCCCTTAAAGTAGGTACTTGTTTTAGTTTGAGTTCATTATCACACGCTTTTTTATTATCCTGATGATAGAAATAATGATTTCTTTTGTGATATTAATATACATATAAGAAGAAAAAATTTAAAAAATCGAGTCTTTAAATATTTTTACTATACATTTTAACATTGTCACGGTTATTTGTAGTCTCTCAAAGAGATGACTGTGAGTTGTCCAAAAAATCACTGTCAGTTTTTTTTTATAAACTGCATGCATGTACAAAATGAGTTCTACTGATATTATAATGACTGAATAAACTAAAATCAATATATAAAACTCCGGGTCCATAATACATCTCTGTTCCTTTCCACAGTCTCTCGTGCACTCCGGACTCCGGTCTCAGGCGAAGCGTTACAATGTACAATGTGTCACAAGTGTTCGTGCGTGTAACCTTAAATAGTATATTGTGCAAATTTAAATATCTCCAACGAAGCCTAACAGGGAAATTCACGAGGATAATATTATATTGTGCAACTAGTGCGAGAAGTTGTCGATTGCCCACGACAGCGAAGTTGGGCGGACGAGCGAAACGACTAATAAAAAAAAGAGTAATAAAAAGCTTTGTCCGCGTGAATTTATGTGTTAAGCTCCAATGCAGATATTAACATTAGAACAATAGATATGGTAACAAAATGAATAAGTTTGGTTGGGTGGTTAAATATTTAGCGACATATGTATGTAGACTTCATATGTTATAAAACTGTTCTACCTGACCCTGCGGGGGAATTACATGGAATACTATAATAAATATTATTTACATGTCTTAGTTACATTACTACAAAGATATATAAGAACTCGTTAAGTAGATTGTGTGTAACAAAAAACTAATCATAAGTAAGTGTAAAGTTATTAATAACGAATCAGGAAAGTTCATCTGTATACATCTTGAATGTGAAGTAACAATTATCTTAATATAACAAACATGTTCATCTCATCATTCCTCACTACTGACTGTTAGTTAATCATATACAGAACTCATACACGTATTTATTACAAAGTATACATTTTGATAAAAATGTTTGTTGTTTAGAAGCACTGTTTATTTTGTTATACAGCAAGCTTCTCCAGTAGAAGCACCAAATTCACTCAAGTTTCAAATATTTAGCCTCTTAACTTAAGGATAATTTTTGATTCCATATTTGAGACTTAACAAAATCACTCAATAAATATAATAACTAAATAAATCAAACCACATTTCACTACACATATAACTGAAATTCCATCAACGCGGTCCCCGGTTCATTCCCGTGCACGCTACACTCACTGTATCCACAGTCACACTTCAAGTCCTAACTTGTTCCGTGTGTGTTCAGAGCCTGTCTGTTCACGTCTCTTCTCTCCACCGTCTGTATGTTAACTGCCGCCGGCCGCGTCCCTCGTGGCTCCTCTCACTGCTCCTCGCTGCGCACTCACGGACACAGACGGCGCAGATAACTTTACATTCTGTTAACAAACTGACTGAACTTTCAGACTATTTTATTATTATTTTCATGATGGGAATGATTAAAGAGCTGCTTTTCTTTTTGCTTCTAATGATAAAGTTTATATGACGAAATAACAATTATAGATTATTGTACCAAGAGTTTAATCATGTGAGTTACGATTAATTACTTTTAGTTACTATAAAGCGATTAAGAAAGAAAGCGAAAAAATTATTTTACTTTCCGATCGACCTGATCAGTATTTAAATTGTTATTTTTTTAAATGTGATTTTAGAATTTATATTAAAGTTAATAATTAGATAAAAATGTCATACACATTTCATTTAGGATAAATCACGATATTATTTTTCTTTTCCCTAAATGGGTATTGACAGCGCATTTGTTGCAAAAAGTGGCTGTTAAATAAATTAGCGAATACTGTCTCCAATCACATTTCTTACTATTTAAAAGTGTGACGAAATATTTCTGACTTAAATAATGATTTAATTTCTTCTAGTTTAGTCAAAATAATATCCCTCAAATATTTATAATAACATAGTTATAGGAATAGTTGGTCAGTGGTGGCCCAGTGGTTTAAGGGCCTGCCTCTCGTTGCCGAGGGCGCGGGTTCGTTCCTGGCCCGGGCAAGTACCAATGTGATTTTTCCGAATCATATGTACTTTCTATGAATATTTAGACATCACTGATTAATGTTGATTCCCAAAAGAGGGTTGATGTCAGGCAGGCGGCCGGTCGTAAAAACAAATAGCCAAAACCATTCACAACATGTAAGGCAGACCCTGGCTATAACTGGGAAAATTGCCAGGTAGAAGAAGATAGTTATAGGAATAGTTGGGAAGATAATTTTACACGAAATTAACTATTGTAATGTTGTTATTTGCAGGGCAAATATTTTACCATGTGTTGATGTGAAAATGGCAGAATAACGAAGTTAAGAATAAAACAATGAAGACTAAATTTATACTCTTTGTTTTACGGGTGCATCAGAAACAACTAAAATCCAGCACAAAATTTATTTAAAGTCTGCCAGAATTTATGTAGCACTTTGTCCTTCGCTGCTCTGTAAAACGCCTTATTCATCAACCGTCTGCATCAATAAAAAGTTAAAGTAGAAATAATGAAATAATACATATATTTAATTTAAAAGCTGATGCAGAATTTAGGTATATTGGTTTAATAACAATTATGTTGCTTAATGACATCTAAGACTTTCGCGAGTATTCATTTAAATGAAATTATTCGGATTACTTCTCGTTTTTTATTATTTTATATCTACATACTCCCGACGTTCCGGTTACTTTGCAGCAACCGTGATCAAGTGCAGATGAGATGTGAAAGTGAATTATACATATTAAATCAACATAATTCTTAACTTAATATCTTGGTGAATTCAAAAAGCCTTGTTATTTCCATATTAATTGATAATCTACTATACCCTTTATAGATAACTGATCAAGTGTTTATTTATTATAGAGTAGCAGGTTTATCATGTCCATAGATATTCTACTATTATTAATAAATGTAAACAATGAAATTATTCTTCATTTAAGGATTACATTAAAAATTATTACTTTATGTAAAACGTTAAAGTAACTTGTTCGTTTAAGCAATAAGGTACCAAGTATGATTGAAATGGAAAAGGTAAAGTTAAAAATAATCCAAATAAAATGTACTTACATATTTAAAAAATACATGACTTGAAATTACTGCAAGCAAATAAAAATCTCTATGATGATAAGAATGAAAAAGAAGTTGATTAGATATACAAGTTGAATAATGTTATATGTATATCGGATTTATTTCAAAATCGTTGTTTTTAAAGAGAGCCTCGCTGACGTTACTAATGTCACTTCGTCTAGTACGTGCCATGATATTTTAAAATGAAACTTCAATTGTTCTTAATGCTCCTGTATTTCAAGAAGGTTCTTCATAATCACATACTTCAATGATACGCACTCACTGAACTCTTAATTCTGCCGTCGTGCGTCCAGACGTCATATTTATAACAAGATTCAAACATAGTTCTATTCTCCTTTGATTTCGTTTTACTTTTAACAATAATCATATTGAGTATACTAATGAGTTTTAATAAGAATAGATGACAGCCTCAATTTTTTTTTCATTTCACATCCGTTATTAAAGCTGATAGCGCCGATATATATAATGGTAGATTAATAGACTTGCACTGTACGCATAGATTGTAGGACATTCTTATAGCAATTGTGTACAGCATTAAAAATTGTATGCTTCGTATGATATATTTATAATACTTTGGCCAGTTGAACCTGCAATAAGTAATTAGGTACGCATTCCAAATACATGGTGGGCTCATTTTACCTGGTGTTAATTTTCGAAATGACGCTCAAAAGGTCTCGGGATGATTTGATTGTACGAAATGCCAAAACAGTATGAAGTTGTCAGAGATCATACAAAGCATATAGGAGAACAAAGCCTGGTGTTTCGGTTTACATTAATCAGTATTCAAACAACCTTTGTCTACTAATTAATATCAATAATTTTTAAATAATCTCTTTCTCAACATTTTACTGTTACAAATAAAGCTTGTTCATTTGCTCATTATTGAGATAATCCGAAAGTATGAAACTCCCATATTTTTTTAAAATCTTTATATGTTTTGTTTGCAGTCATTTAGAACGTTTTGTTACATTATGTTCATACCTATTAAATATTTTCAATACTATTTTATTGCAAATAAAAAAAAAATAATTTTAAATATTTTGTTCAACCAAATAACAACTTAATTTCATTTTATAAATTATATACAGATCAAAGCAGACATACAAATTGAGAATTAACTTTTTAACTGGATCGTCAATTAACGGTATAAAATTATAAGAAACAAAGGTTTTTAAACAACTTTATCTTAAGATAGGCGCAATAGTTTTGTAATAACTTTTCGATAAATATTTTTGATTATTCTGATTATTTTTAGAAGAAAATTAACCTTTTCAAATATTAAAATAAAATTAAAAATATACAAATGTTAATTTCGATTAATTTTCTTTCATGTTTTAACCTTTTTATTTTATGTTTATGTTTTACATTTCCTAGTGTATTTGGATATTTTTTTATCCTTGGTGAAATTGTACAAGTGGATTTAAATGAAGATCTACTCCATTACGTTTTTTTTAATATTCTTTTCACTTTTATCGTCTCTCAGGAAGCAGCGCCAGTCGATCAGCTGCTCCAACGCCACCTGCCGCGCGGCAACGCTCCTCTCCTCCTGGAAATAATTAGTATTAAATAGTGAGATTAATGAACCAGAATTACCTGTGGTTATACATATCAGAACATATTTATCTCATGAGATATACTTTCACGGGTAGTCATTGAAATGTTACTAATATTTTTTGTTTTTACTATAATCTACTCGTGATGCACGTGAAATATCGATGGTACGTTATAAAAAAATAACTATAAACACTTAGTAAAGTAAATACAAGAAATATTACTTTTCTTCCCAAAGAGTGTTGATGTCCGGTCATAAAAACAGTTAGCCAACACTATTCACATCATGGAAGGTAGAAGAAGGTACTATTGCTAACATGTCTTTCATATTATAATATTGTTCCAGTGTGTACTAACCGCTGAGCTGGGACGTTCCTCATCCAGTAACCTCTGCCCCCTGGCCAGTACGTCCTTGAAACAGTCGTCGCGCGCCTCTTTCTCCGCCCTCAGCTGCTGCTGAGCCTGCGGCAGCTGGGGATGACATCTCGCTGCGGAGGGATGACGACCACGAGATGACGTCACGGAGCTGGGGAACGATATTCATGATATATATATATATATATATATATAACTTATATATAAAATTCTCGTGTCACAATGTTCGTTTCCGTACTCCTCCGAAACGGCTTGACCGATTCTCATGAAATTTTGTAAGCATATTGAGTAGGTCTGAGGCTCTGAGAATCGGCCAATACCTATTTTTCATAACCTAAGTAATAGGGGCTGTTCACCCCTAAATTTTGTTTTGATTTGGACGAAAGGTTTTGTTTTTATTTTTTTATCAAGTGTCATAAGAAAATACATAAAATCCTAAATATTTTTTTTATCACCAACCCCTACTTTTGATATGACAAAACAACGTTTGCGGGGCAGATAGTATACAGGGTGACTGGTAAATTACTATCAATATTTAAGGAGCATACTCGGTACATGATTCTCATTCGAATTATGTAAAAAAATAGGTACTTAATTTTTGACAAAATTTCCGTATAAATAAATAAAGTGTTGACACGTTCCAAGTGTTGCAAGTGTGGACGCGTGCGGCGGCGTGCTGATACAACACTACGCCGCCGCCGCGTCTGTGTGAGTGTGTGTGTATACCTAATCTGTAGGGTGTTCATACGATGCGTAATTAATTACATAACTTTTGGTTAACTTTACTTAGAAGTTTATTAATATTTATGTTATATTAATTTTTATTTTGTCATATATGATCGTCAAATATCACGTCCTCAAATATCGATAGTAATTCACCAGTCACCCTGTATATTAAATAATAATCAAAATAATAATCAAAACTAAGACAACCGTTAAATTAGTGCTTAATATAGAAAAATATCTCTTAATTAAACGTTATTTCATTTAATTTTTGTTATAAGTGCGATGTCGAACTGTATATTCATAAATGTTTTTGTTATAAGTGTAATTCTGATATAAGTGATAATAATGTCTTGATGGAAATAAAATATCATAAAGGATACATTACTTATAGGCGTAAAATCGTTAATAATTAATTAGTATATAAAGATAATATATATAAATTAGATAGATTAATCAAATGTAGCAATATATTGAAACACTATCAGATCATAAAGGTTTTGTATAATAGTGAAATCCCACAGTAATACCTCGGATAGGAAGGTCTGTAATTCCAGGTGTTGGAGCAGCAGTTTCCTCCTAAGACCTGCAGCACCTCGCAGTGACCGCCACGCCTCACTGAGCGCCTGCTGTCTCAGCGCTATCTGCTGGGAGCTACCGCCGGGGCATAACCGCTGGAGGCGAGATCCTTCCCCTGGAGCACCTGGAAATAGATTTAATATCACTACAACTATCTCTTCTACCTGGCAACTTCCCAGCTTTAGCCAGGGTTTACCTTACATGTTATGAATAGTTTTGGCTAATTGTTTTTACGACCGGCCGCCTGCCTGACATCAACCCTCATTGGGAATGCATTAATCAGTGATGTCTAAATATTCTTAGAAAGTACATATGACTCGGAAAAATCACATTGGTACTTGCCCGGGCCAGGATATATATTACTACAACTATAAAATACTGCAAAAATCAGTTAAAATCTTATTTAGGCAGAATTAGGCTACATTAAGTGAGGAGCTATGATATTATGAAATAGATTTTCACAAGTATTCATTTAAATGAAACTAATATTTATCATATCGTCTGCCCGTAAACAAAACGTCGGAAATATGTAGTTTTTTATCAAAACGTTCATCCAAAAAATATTAGTTTCATTTAAATGAATACTCGCGAAAATCTTAGATTTCATTATAAGTCAATCTTAATAGTTACTCTGTGTCTATGAGTTTGCATTTCTTATCCCTGTTTTGTACACAATTGTTGTTGCTTTGAGGGTGTATATTTTAAATTTCATGTTTAAAGCAAACTTTATTGTAAGAATATGCTACCTAGTGATACATTTATTATGATTGTCGAAGTTTTAATTTAAAATACATAATATGTTTATCGTCATAATTTTCTCAAGTAAGGGAAATGTAATTTCTTTTTGAGAAAAATGAAGTATCTTTAACCATAACAATTGTTTTGTAGTACCTGCATCTGAACGTCTATAGCGACCATATCGTTCTCGGCTGCGTCGTGGTCCCTCAAGAGGGCGGTGGTCGCGCCAGCAGGTCCCCGGCGTCGCGGTGGGAGCGGTGGATCTCGCCAGCAGCAACCAGGCGCTGGCTGCGGGACTGGATCTGTTCTACTAGACGCTGTCAGGACTCGCTGGAATGTATGAATTGTATGTATTTGAGTTGTGGATTATGTAAATTAGATGTTATATGGTTAGAATTAAGTCTCACTCTGCCTTGTTTTAAATGACATGTGGATTTTTTGAATTAGATTCTATGTGTATGTAATTAAGTCTCATTTTTCTTTGTCTAAATTAAATTCTATATCTAGTCATTAAGTCTCATTTTAACTTGTACAAATTTATTTGCATTTGTGGAATGTCTTATTTAGATTCTATATCTGTATGTATGGTTAAAACTAATTTTGTTTGGTATAAGTTTATGTGGACATATTGGATTTCTGAATAAGATCCTGTATGTTATGTAATTAAGGGTCATTTTCCAAGTTCCCCTCACCCGAGCACTTCCTGTCTCTTTTCAATGTCAGCGATGTATGGGCTGTCTGAGGCGACCAGCTTCTTGGCCAGCTCCTCACACTAGTTGAACCTCTCCGCCCCACTCTCTACACGGTGACGGAGCTCTTCGGACCTAAGGATCTGTGGTTGGGGAAATATGATGTCTTAGATTATAGAAATAATTAAATGATTTTGGAGGATATTTTAATTAAGCTGTAAACATTTAGGTATATTTAATATTATGACATGCTAATCTTTGCACATCCTTCTGAGATACAAAAAATTAAAAAAAACACTAAATTACGTACTAAATGCTCAAATTGACTTAAATTTCAACGAAATTTAGCATTCATTCGTTAGTTTCTAAAAATAGGATTGTTGAACGGATATCCGTGAAGTTTCAAGCTTAGTACTTGAAGATATAACTGAATAATGTCTCCATCACCAAGTGTGATGGCTGGAGCACCCTCTCATCATCATTATCATCATAATCTACATATCGTTACTCACCAGTAAGTGTTCATAGTCCTGTCCGTAGTCTTCACTGGAGGCGGCTGCTTGCTGCTCCGCAACTCATTCCTCCAACTCAGCGCTCTCAGCCAGATATTCATGTCTAAGGATAGACACACATATTTTTAGAGGATATCCTATTTATATATTCCTATAACACACATATACTAGTCTTTGTCAGCAACTTCTTCATAATCAACTTCAGGAATAGAAAGGCGTTACTGTGTAACGCTTAAGAAGCAGTAAATAACAAGTCTTTGTTAAGTAGTTATTTATTTAAATTTCGACCTCGCTTAATGAAAAGTATGCTACGTCAGTCTCCTGTTTCTAAACTACCTCGAAACAAATTTACAAATTCTTATAGCCCTTCTTGATTATAACTAGTGCGACGAATATGATATGTATATATATAGTATCTCTCACCTGCACACACTCTCCACGAGCGCGGCCTGCCTGCTCGCTGCCAGTCTCTGCAGCCTAGCCAGACTGCCAGCCAGCTGGTCATGTCTGGTGACCAGCGCGGCGCCCTCAGGATGACCACCGGAAGCCATGGATTGCGCCACGTGACCCATTTCCGCTATGATCGCCGCGTATGTGTCCAACTCGAGTTCTACGGCCTGATGGTAGGTTAAAGAGGAATTGTAAGATAATGCTGAATATACTCTGTATTATTATATTTCTGTTAATTGAAAGTGTTAGAAATTTAAATAATGACAACTTCTTCTGATTTAAGTCCATATATATATGTTAGATGTCATACTCCTGCCAAACGGCTTAACCGATTTTTATGAAACTTTATATGCATATTCAATCATTTTAACAATTGGCTACTATCTATATTTCATACCCCTAAGTATAAGGGCGGCCCACTTTTAACACCTTATTAAATTTTTTTGGACAACCTTTCATAATGTGGCATTACAAAATACATACAACCCTAAATTATCACTCTTCTATCACCAACCCCTATTTTTAAAACATGTTTTATAAATATTTGATCCTACTCAATGACTGATAAATTTTCACTTCATAAGTCACTTGATGACTTACATATATATAGTGATTTATCATTTCTTGTAGCTCAAAAATTGAGTGATATGACGAAAATCTAATTCTTAGCGATGTATATATATGTATATATATATTACCTTATGCCGTGTGAGTAGTTGCGTCGCTCTATGCCTATCATTGCCGACGTCACCGGAAGCCAGTGCGGCGGCCTTGTCAGCCAGACAGGAGTCTACTTCCGCTGCATCATGCAGGAACTGCTGGGCCTTGACCGCCGCCTCCAGCCGGACCGCGCGCTCCTCCGCCGCTGATGATACAGAGGAGTACGCCTCTTCAAGCTCCTGGCATAGCTGCTTGATCTGGAATGTGATCGTTATAGTTTAGTGAGTGGAGTAGGGAAATAAATTATATGTATATGCATAAATTTATCTTCTTCTTCCTGGCAATTTCCCAGTTTTAGCCAGGGTCTGCCTAAGATGTGTGAATAGTTTTGCCTAATTGTTTTTAGGACCGGACGCCTGCCTGACATCAAACCTCTTTTGGAATGCATTAATCAGTGATGTCTAAATACTCTTATAAAGTACATATGACTCGGAAAAATCACATTGGTACTTGCCAGGACCGAACCCGCGCCCTCTTGCATGAGAGGCGGGACTTTTAACCACTAGGCCACAACTGACTGAGGAAATGAATTATATGTATAATATACATAAATTAATATAATACAAATTGGTGTTTCAGTTAATGTGGCGTTCACACTGTTTACTTCGCTGTAAGCAACAGTACTATGCACATGTGCTTGCAATCTACTCTCAATCTCTCTCCTACTTTCTACATTTGTGTATCTTTCTTTCCCTTCGTTGAACGTTTAACGCAACCTTGTTGGTAGTCGCATAAGAAGTTTTACTTCAAGAATTCACTCAAAAAATATTAAAAAAATTCAATTATCAGCCGAACTTTGTCCAAGAATAATTTAATTATGCATGCTGTATATAATATTATAGATGAACCAAGGTATGGTGTGGAGATCCAGAATGAATTTAACTATCATACTATGACGTTGGTAAGATGGACATTTTTTACTATGCGTCAGTTCTGCACTATCGAACGGACGCGTGTTTCTCTCTTAGAAATAAATACCTACATATAATCACTACAAATACAATGGGACATATAACTACATAACATTACTATGTAATACATGAGAATGTGAGTTATATATATATAGTCCACCTTCCCAGCCTGTGGATGCGTGTCCAGCTCCTTGCCCCGCTGGAGCACCCCCTCCACGACAGGCCTCCGCCCCTCGAGCTCCGCCCTCAGCTTGGCGTGTTTCTTCTGCGCGTGGCAGATGAAGCAGCGGCCTGGCGCTCCGACACCCAAGCTAGCTCTCCTGAAACCTCGGCAGCGAACTTGTGTGGTCTGTGGAGGATTTGGATAAATAAAATTAGGCCTCAAATTGATTATGTACTATTACTATCCTACTAATATTATAATTGCGAAAGTTTGTGAGTGTGTATGTATTTATTTATTTATTTAGGCACACAAACAGAATATAAGCCGGATTACATATGAGTTACAGTATAAAATTATTTTTAGTTTGATTATATTCTAAAGTATGTGTACACGGCATAATCATTACAAAAACAATATTTTTGTCAGGTGCTACATTATTTGGGTACAATTTAAGACTAACGAATAAACAGGAAAATGTACGTTTGTTACTTCTTTACGCTCAAACGGCTGAACCGATTTTGATAAAATTTTGTGTACAGGAAGCTGACGTCCAGGAATAACACATAGGCTACTTTACATCCCGGAAATCTCGGAAATCGGCGGGTAAAATCTCGGGGCGCAGCTAATATGGTATAAATTATAAAATAGTTGCTTTTCTTGTCCCTATATCCGTATGCATTCTTAATAACTTAAAACTACGCAGTGGATTTTGGTGCAGTTTTTTTTGAAAGATAGATTGTTTGAAGATGAAGGTTTGTATGTATAATGATATCCATAAATAATTGGAGAACCCTTATCCAGTTAAATAACTTTAATACATTTTTGATTTAAAATAGATCTACGTCCCGGCTCAATTGTATATATGTATTACATACATATATATTGTTCCGTCAACCGTTAATCATTTCTTATATAATATTGTATTGAATCATATTTTAGTTATATCGTATACTGACTGTAGACTAGTTTCCAGCGCCTGTCTCCTCTCGGCTGCTCGAGGGCGGAGCGCCCGGGCGGTCTGCAGCAGCGCAGCGGAGTCTCTCTCGATGGCCGCCCCGTCGAAGTGACCACTAGAGACCAGGTCGGAGCCCTGGGCTGCAAGGGACTCCGCTCGTTGTTCGCATTGACTCAACTCTTGTTGCAGAGCCTGTAGACATTTATGTTTCTATTGAATATTATATAAATATACATATACATCTATTTTGTTCTAGTAAATACAACAAGGACGAAATCGCATTTTTCTGTAAACAATAATTTTTTTTATCAATACACATTTCTAAACAATATAATTCTACTTGTTTTACTTTAAAACAAAGTGTTTTCTCGTCTGAGGAGCCCTTAGTTTAAATCTAGTTATTAAAGCACAAGCAATGAGCTCTTTACACTTTGATTTTTATAAAAATAATCTCAGCAAAAAAAGAAATCTTTAAAACCACATCATCACTCTCACACTGACAGTTACCACAAATTATATCAGTTAGCTGGCATAACTACGACAGATAATAATTTGAAAAGCAATCTATACTAATATTATAAAGCTGAAGAGTTCGTTTGTTTGTTTGTTTGAAAGCGCTAATCTCCGAAACTACTGGTTCGAATTGAATAATTCTTTTTGTGTTGGATAGTCCAGTTATCGAGGAAGGCTGTAAGCTATATAACATCACGCTACGACCAATAGGAGCAAAGATATAGTGGTAAATGTGTAAAAAACGGGAGAAATTATTTCATCTTTGAAGCCTTCCGTTTGTGCGCCGTGAAAACGGTTCAAGATACACAAAAAATATGTATTAAAGAATAATAGCTCTTTTAATGATCTAAAAATCAGTCCGCGACAGTATATGTCTATCTTTTAAGATTAACTCACAAAAACCGTTTTTATGGTACCTAATTTGGTCGAAATAATTTGTTTAAGTTGTATCAACATAATAATATTAATCTTTATTCAAATAAACAAATAAATATGTTGTTGGTTAAGAGTACTTCATTATTAATTAAAAAAACATAGGTTTCATCCTGAAAATTCTACGGGAACTCGACCATTCCGAAAACCCCGCAAGAACGGGAACTATGTGGGAAAAACCAAAAATCTGTCGGAAGTAACTATTCCACGCGGACGAAGCCGCGGTAAAAGCTAGTACTATATATATGTATTTATATAGTATATCTAGTAGGTATGTTATATGTTGGTATATGTTGGTATGATATATGTTGGTCTTACAAGTAAATTATCCTAACTGATTTTGATAAAACTCTTCTATAAAGCCATTTAGACCTCATAATGACATCCATTATATTAGATACACATTAATCACCATCTGAGTAATACCTAATACACGCATGAAGTCGCAGTAAACAGCTAGTATGTGATGTACCCACCTGGTGTAGTAGCAGCAGTCTCTTGCAGGATCTCAAGTCTGAACCCAGCTCGGTGCTGTTCAGAGCTCGCTCCATCTCCGCCAACCTCGCTTTAGTGTCTTCCACCGACCTGGGAAATCATAATTATATGAATATATTCAATGCATATTCATAATATAGGAGATTATATGAGATGTTTCCATCATCATCAGCCTATCAGAGCCCACTGCTGAGCCTCTTCTCACATGGAGAAGGTTTGAACATTAATCACCACACTCGCTCAAGAAGGGTTGGTGATGTCAAACTTATTCTATGATATTATTGATTGTATAACCATGCTAAGGGTGATAGATGTATCACATACATTTAATAGGATTAGAACTTACAATCTGTACATAACGCGGTCCAGATTTCATGTTTTACTGAGAGATCATAAAGTATTTAGTGCAATTTCGCACTTGGGTTGCTACGAAATTAAATTCAAAAATTCATTATCAATATGTGCCTAAATATATTTTATATCATACACTTCTCGTCTGCCCGTCATGACTTTTTCTTAAACAATGAATGCAAAAACTTTTAATAGTTATTATTTCACTTGCAATGTATGTATGTTATTTTATTTTATTTTAGGGAAACAAACAATAAGATAAACTTATGGGATATAATTATACAAAATTACATATATCAGCTAAGTTTCCACTGGTAATTAGACACAAATAATTAAAAAAAGACTAGTAAACATTAAAAACGTATACTGACGAATTTCTTCGGCAGTTATGAATAAAATCTAACATAAATATAATTAAACGAAACAAATTTAAAAAAAAGATGTAACAAAACACATAAAATTGAAGGCATTAATGGCTACATCGGTTAGTTAAATTACAGACAAAACATTTATACACGTCAAAACAAACTATGAATTGATACATAAATTAATCTCATTAACTTTATTTTTAAAAGAATACAT